TAGATTTAATCGTATTGTTTAATTCCTGGCCATAAGTTAGTTAGTTTAGATTTGAATTTTAAAAATAAAAGGGACAGTTTTTGGGTAGTTATTTATAGGTAGTTATTTCTAGAAGTTGTATTAGTTAGTAATAGATGTGTTGATTAGTACCAATAGTTGTGTTGGTTGCTGTCTATAAATACTCGAGGAACATAGAATTCCTGTATGTAGTTCACAATAAAAAAATCAGAACTCTATTCTGCATTTGATTTGTTCTTCCTATTATTTTCCTACAATGCAAAAGGTATTTTAAATAAAATATATATTGTATATTAATTAGATAAAATAATATTTTAAAAATATTTGGTATAATAAATCCAAAAAAATATTTTGATATCAATATCTTATATTATGTATATTTAATTTGAGGTCAAAGTTTATAAGTTTTGATTGAAAAAAGTCAAAGTCTAAAAAGAGTTTTTTTGTATTAATATCTAAAATCATTTTTATTTAATTTGAGAGAGAGAGTATTTTCTCTGTTTTGTTTTCATTTTTAGTGAAAAAATGTTTATATACCTCTTTTTAAATCAAATTTTAAAAAGGCACCAAAATTTGTAATTTCTATAATATATGTAAATTTTAATGTTATACATTATGGAGTACTGTTTACTTAATGTTAGAATCGTGACGGTTGGATACAAATTTTCTAAAATGTGACCCCATGATTCAAATATTCTGGGTCCGCCCCTGATGGCAAGGGTAGGGGAAGGAGCGATACAGATCTACAAACAGTATCCATAGCTTTCATTATTCCAACAAGTGAGTTTTCTTTCATCACAAACCAACTCACCATCCACCGGTAAGTTATTACCAAAGTGCGCCTTGTTCAGCGAACACTATATGGCATCTTTTTGTGTGTGTGTTGGAGGGGAAGTACATGTAGGCTTTTTCAGTAGCAACAGTGTTCCTCGACATTGTATGACACTTCACCTTAGGTGCTTTATGTTTGGGTAGACATAGTTGAATCCCTCCTCGAGCTGAGCCCGAATTTTACATGAGAGGGAAAGCTCATTGATACACATTTACTTCTTCCAATCCCTAAACACAATCCTTGTTTTTCTTTTCTATTGGTCCCTAAACAAATGTCCATTTCCTTGTTTTGTAAAAGTAGAGTGTTAACTAAGAGGGTAATATTTAGAAGTCAAAAACATTTTTGACTGCCCAACTCAAACTATAAACTTCTTGGGATGGAGTGAGTAAAAGTTTTCAATGATTAACTGGGTGCAAAGTACTAATTGAATTTATCATATGTAAATCAGAATTTTTCAAAAACAAAAAAAAAACTGCTAGATCCATCCAACAACTCTTTGTTTGTCTCTACCTACAGGGAGGCCTCGTTCGAGAAAAACTATGGGAGTTGCTGGTTGATGAGCCTGGAGTGATAATGGAAGAAGGGTTTCCCAATGCCACAGGGAAGGAGCAGTCGATTAAGGGTATGAGAACATCTGAGTTCTGCTTGCACCCAGCAGGAGACACACCCACCTCATGCAGGCTTTTTGATGCCATCCAAAGTCTCTGTATCCCTGTCATTGTTAGCGATGATATTGAGCTCCCATTCGAAGGTATGATTGATTATTCAGAATTTTCAGTCTTCATAGCAGTAAGTGATGCACTCCGACCAAACTGGCTCGCGAGCCATCTGAGGAACTATTCTCGTATCCAGAAGGATAAATTTCGCGAAAATCTGGTGCGAGTCCAGCCCATCTTTGACTACGAGAGCGGTCAACAAGGTGGGGTAGGTCCAATTCCTGCTGGTGGTGCTGTGAACCACATTTGGGAAAAAGTTCAGCAAAAAATACCCCTGATCAAAGAAGCAATTGTCCGAGAGAAAAGGAAACCTCCAGGAGTATCTGTTCAGCTTAGGTGCCATTGCACTTGAAGAAATGATACTCCCTTTGTCCCAGTGTATTTGTTTACTTTGACTTTTTCGAGTCAAGTAATATGAACTTTGAACTTCAATTAAAAAAATTATAATGTATATTAATATAAAATTGATTTTATTAGATTTATCTTGTTGAGAACTTTCAAAATTTTATTTCATTGTATTAATATTCAATACAAATTGAGAGTAATTGAAGCACAAAGTTTGTGGAATTTGATTCGATAAAGTCAAACTGGACAAATACACTGAGACAGAGGTAGTATCTTCTCAACAACATTTGACACTTGAACATCACTTCTTGTTGTGTACTACTCCCTCCGTCCTGAAGTATTCGTCCAGTTTTGACTTTTGGAACTGTTCATTTAAGCACTTTGACTCATCAAATTCTCTCAATGTGTAAGCCTAAATATAGTCATGTGTGATCTTGTTTGATTTGTCTTAACATATAGATTATTAATATATAATTTCTATAATTTTTTAATATACAAATTACAAGATAAAATGGATTAAAAAGTGTATTGGATGGTGTGTAAAAATGAAAGTGGACAAATACTCTGGGACGGAGGGAGTAGCAGGTTATGACCTTGAGGGTGTTTGTGGTTAAAGTGCAAATTACGAGTTCTTTGAAAATCGTTTCGAGCTTTTGCTTTGTCAATCTGTAGTTTAACGTATTTCGCTATCTGCTTTTGCTTATAAATGATAACTTCGTAAGTCTAAAATGGGCTCATGAAGTGTTTTAAAATAAATATAAGAATATTTGCTTTTTTACTTGTAACTTTTCATTTTTTAAGAATCTATCACAACCTCAAACACTTTTTACTTGTAATTTTTCGTTTGTACAAATAAGATGCCATGTGGAAACAAATAATTAAACAGTAGGAGAATGAATAGAGAAGAGTAGAGAAAGTTGAACGAGAAAGTGATGTGGTATTGAAAGCAAATGATGTGGAAGGAGAATAGGGAGAATGAGTAGTGATGTTCTTAGATTGGAACTTGGAAAACGTGAATTCTACCACAAATATCAAACGCATTGGCGTGAAGACTAATGAAATCTATGTGATGGTGGTAATCAAGAGGACTAGTCCTTTTTATTCTCTATGCTAAAATCAAATAGTACAAAGTTACGATTTATAAAATCAAATTATAATTACACTTTTTATCTATTTTCGTTTTTTCACTTAATAAATAAAACGGAATATAGTATTTTTTATGTAATTTTTAAATATATAAATTTATTCTTTAATTCCACTCATATGTTCAAATTTCAAATAATTCAGTCAAATACCGTAAACCTAAAATGGAACAAAATGAATAAACCTTTTGAAGTACTCTCTCCATCTCGTCATTTTTGGGACATGAGGAAGTAGCACAAGAATTTTAAAAGAATACAATTTTGCAGTCAACATAAGATCTTACGAACCACACAAATATAACTCATTACATTATTAGACAAAAATAATGGGATTGATTAAAAAAGGTAAAAAAAAAGCCAAAAATAATAAGACAGTGAGGGTAATTTTCAAATACTCATATATAAATTTTATTTCTTTTATTTCTACACCAAATTTAAAATAAATTGAATAGAAAATAAGCTTAGTCAATCATCATAAACCGAACTGTTACTTTTATTTTGAGACACATGGAGCATTTTTATATATATATATATATATATATATATATATATATATATATATATATATATATATATATATATATATATATATATATATAATGATACAAGAAAGTTCAGGTTTAGGATAGAACTGCCCAAACATTCTTAGTCCACCCCAAGAGAGTTCAGTTGCTATACAGTTATCTGTACAAAGTGCTTTGGAGTCATCTGTGACCATTGCATTTAGCTTCTTTGAGTAAGAGATTCATGGCCAACAAAGCTGCACCTACTGCAGGCTCAACCTGCAAAGCCACCATATTTAAAAAATAAATAATGTTCGTTCGATTAAAATAGATGCAAAAAAAGTTGTCAATGGAACCGAAATAATATAGGAAACTACTAATTTTAACAAAAAAAAGTACAAATTTTTATAGTAAGCAACTACTAATTCAAGTGTAAAATAGTTTGATGTCTCTTTAAAGTTTGATAGTTTGATCTCCATTCCCGGGCAAGATATCATAAAGAGCAGAACCAAACGAGCCTCTACCCCCATGCACAAGTAAATGAATGAGTTGTAAAATATGAACCATAAGGGGAGACATAAATAAAAATAACCTTCGGTCGAATAATAGAAGCCCTTGGGTAGGTCTTTAAAATGGAATTGATAACTTCGTTCCCTATGTTCCATTTCTGGTTGGCTTCAAGAACACCACCAACCATGACAAGCGGGAAAGAATCATTGTCATCTGCAATTGCCAAATTATGCACTTTCACTTGCCCATGTTGGAATAATCTATCTAATCAGCTACCTAATTAAGGTAAAAACAAGGTGCCATAACATCACGAAGTTGTATGTGGTTCAGTTCATAGCCCTTTTTTTAAGGAAGTCCGACTCAGAGATCAAGAGTTCTACCACTGCATCACACACCCCTTGTTTAACGGTTATAAACATTTTGGTTATTGACTTTCCAAGTTTGCCTTTGATTGTTTTATGTAAAGAGTACTAATGCATGTCTTCTTCAAAAAAGTTGCCTTTTGTGAAGATGGGAGCTCAATTTGAGATTTTGAGGACATCTGATAAAACTCAAGATGGGAGGGGAGCGGGGGGGGGGG